TAATTATATAATAATATTATTATTATTATTATTATCTTCGGTTATCGTTCTCTCTTTTTTCTTTTTTTATCTTCCCTAATTAAATATTACTTATTATTATTATTATTATTATTATTATTAGTATTATTATTTATCTTGTTTCTTATAATTTTAACACAAATTTGAAACAACAATAAATTATATTACTTCCTTACTTATAACTATTTATATATCATTACATTATCTTTTACCTTTTTTATTTATTTTAACAATTCCCCTTTCTTTTCCCACTCTTTCTTTCCCTACTTTTTTAAATATAATAATTCTAATTTATTCGTATCATATATGCATCATCATTGTCATAAACCAGTTATGAGGGAGGAAGGGGGAGAGATACAAGATTTGTATTAAAATTAAAACACTTGTCAGGTGTGTATGTGCATGTTTGTGTGTACGAGTTAAATAGAAAGTGATGATAGAAGGGTTGATATGGTTTGTGGATAGGATTCAAGGTTAGGGACATGATTTCTCCTAATTTTTGGAAATTGGAGAAAATCATGGCTCGCGTGGGCAGGGTCGCATACCTGAAGTAAACTTATTTTTGTTGGAAATCACAAAAATAAGTTTACCCGCTACCCAAATTACAAATGATTCATGAGATTTGCATGATAATTGTGTCAGGGTTGCATCAAAATTGCATCTAAGTTTTCCTCGTCCTGTTTCTTTTCATATATATATATATTCGGTATTTTATTAATGAAATTTTGTTAAATAAAATCTTTTCAAACACGACACGAATCATTTGTTATTATCTTGCGTCCAGTATTATTATTTAATTATTTAAATAAATATATATATATGGAATCGAATTAATATAAATGAATAATCTGAGCAAAATCAAAAAAGAAAAAAAACAAGAAAGTTTGTTTAAATCATTTTTCAGATACTCGCGAGAAGAATGAAAATTTCGGTTCGAGTTTGTTGTTGGCCAATTCACCTATGTCACCGAAAATAGTCAACGGCAGTTTTGCAGCAATTTACGATGCAACAGATGTATTCGACGAGTGCATGAAAAATTTCGGACAATTGCGAGTCGAGGCTAAGGATAGTCCAGGTGATTCAATTGTTTTACTTTTCGATTGATTCGACAATAATTACGTCAATTGTTAAATAACTTTTTTTTTGTTTAACTCGTACAATTTTATTTTCAGCAATGCGACGACGAATTCGCGGTATTCTAATGTCGGGTAAACAATTTTCATTAGACTCACGCATGGATCTCGTTCAGGTAATTTTAAATCATTTTCTTATTTTTTTTCATTCAATGTGTATATGTTACCGTCAAAGCCAGAAATCAGGTATTACTATGAATGTAAAGAGCCTTCTCTATAAATATCTGTCTAACAAATGTCTAAAAAATATAGTCTGAACCTTTGCAAACCGATTTATAACTCGATAAGGTATTTTACACGTAGGAAAAAGGATGTACTTTAATTTAATACAACAGCCATTAAAATTTATTCCCTCTTAGTATAAAAAGTATTTACAGAAACTTTTCAAAGAAATATCAGAGATTGCAATGCTATAAATTGTACAACTTTGCTATTTCTTTGAAAAGTTTTGGTAAATATTTTTTATACTAAAAGTGAATAGATTTTAATGAAATTTACATTAAATTAAAGTACACTCTTTTGTCTACGCGTAGAATACCATATCGAGTTATAAATTTAGCATGTAAAGTTCAGAAAATGGCAAAGAATGCGATGCTGTAAATTATGCATCTTTGCAATTTCTTTGAAAAGTTTCGGTAAATATTTTTTCTACTAAAAGTGAATAAATTTTAATGAAATTTACATTAAATTAAAGTACACTTTTTTGTCTACGCGTAGAATACCATATCGAGTTATAAATTTAGCATGTAAAGTTCAGAAAATGTCAAAGAATGTAATGCTGTAAATTATGCATCTTTGCAATTTCTTTGAAAACTTTCGGTAAATATTTTTAATACTTTTAGCAAATGGATTTTAATGATTTTTATATTAAAATAAAGTGCACACTTTTGGCTGCATGATCATTTAAATGAAAAATAATAATTTTCAAGGGTTACGTATGTTGCGGAAAATTAATAGAAGCGTCAACGGAGCTTCCACAAATGAAAGAGGACGATGACGGTTTGACAAATTTCGAATCAACATTGAGCATCGACAAAACCGACGATGATTATTCCACTTACAACGGTAAATTTAATCTTACAACATAACCCATGATCTCTCGCCAATTAATTATTGTTCTTTAACCCTTTGAATGCTACTAACAAATGCATATATGCATTTAGTAAAAAGTTACATATACATATTAATATATACGTATAAATACAAATAATGTAATGTTGTTTTATCTATTGAAAAAATAATGAAAAAAAAAAATACTTGGTAATCATGAAATATAATTAAATAATATCGATATAAACGAAATCATTTGGAAACACAAAATCGTATTAATGATAAACTATTTTGTTTCTAAAAAAAAAGAAAAAACCATTCAATTAAAAACTATTCAACACTTTAAAGGATTAAATCTAACACAACATAAAAACCTTCTCTTCTTTATTTCTCGTTTAATTTATTTCTATTTCTAACATCTCAAAAAATAAAAATTATTCTTTACAGAGATATCTCGAGATAATACAATCGAACAATCGGAATCTGATGATTTTGACGATGACAATAAAACGAAGAATGAAATAGTCAAAGTTCATCATTCGATATGCGGAATAGCCAATAGTAATAATGATTCTATCGTAAAGCAACAAGATATTGAAGGTGAAGATTTTTCGAATATGCCATCCGGAGAGAAGAGTACAATACCTAGAAGTGAAACTATCGGTGCGATAGGTCATCGACCTTACACAGGTGAACTATCAACGACTCGATTCATTAAATCGGATAAAATGATCAAGGATAATAAGGAAAAACAAAATGACGATGATAATTATGATAACGATCATGACAACGATGGTAAACTCTGTCGAAATTGTGGTCATTCGTTGAAACGTCAGTAAAAAATTTTAATGTAATAATTAATTAATTTTTCTTTTTTTATTTTGCATCATTTTCTCGATGAAAAAAAACGTACGACGACGACATTGTTGTTGATCGTTGAGTTTGCTAATAATTATCGAAAATCTTAACTCACGCTTCTTAGAAGATTATTTATTTTTTCGTTTATATTTTTTATCTCTTTCTATCTATCTATCTATCTATCTAGCTCTCTTTCTCTCTCTCTCTCTCTCTTTCTTTTTTTTTTTATTTTGTTTATTTTAATATTCTATCAGACTATCCAGGAAAACCCTCCTACCGGCTCTAGGTTTACCAATAGACAAGGTTCAATGGATTTTTAGATTAGGAGAAATAATTTTTACGATCAATTTTTAAATAAATTATTTAATTCTTATTTAATTGTTAGATATATATATGATAATTCGTATTAGAAGGGTTTCGTCGTTTATTAATTGAATAATTATTAAATAATTATCATTATTTAATATATCTAGTTGTTCGAATAATAAAATAAAAAAAAAACAAAAACAAGGATTGCGTATCCTCGAGCCGGAAAAATGAAAAATTTAATCTAACTAGAGTTATCTCTATCTATATTTATCCATCTATCTATCTATCTATCTATCTATCTAACTATTTATCTATCTAACTTGAAACAAAGTGTTTCTGTCGTTCTTAAAATCGACACGTGTGTACGATTCGTTCGAATAAATCGTAGAAGCAAACGAAAATGTTATCGATTGCAATAATAAATCACGTTAAATGCTGTATTCAATGATTTAATTATAATAATATTTCTTCTCTCTTTTCCTCTCACATATATCCTAATAATATTTTAATTATTTTATATTATTATTATTAA